CCCAAGAATTAATCTTGACAGGGTGGAAATCTTCCAATTGTAGGATAAATTGAAGTACGAGATGCGTGGCAGTGCTTCTGCTACCAGAAGGGGGATAGTTAAATATATCCTTGTAGGTAATTTCAAAGGTGATACTGAGCCCATTAGAAAGCTTTACAACATTGTGAGTAGCATTTAGGTCTCAGCTGTTTCTCACCCACCTCTCAGATGGTCCCAGCAGGAAGCAAGTCTGTAGCTGACATGTTTACAACTAATTAATGTTTATTTATATTTTAAAACCAGCCTTTCACCTGCCATACTTTAAAATAAATGTTCTTCTCTTCAATTAGAGGTTGTCAGAGCTTAGAGGAATCTGTTTGTTGTGAGTTGAATATGTACGTGTGTTTAGATGTGCAGCAGGTAGAGAGCTCATCTCTTGTAAACCTCCTTCTCCTCCTGGGGACTAATGCTTTTCACGCAAAGACACATTTTATTCCTAGGCCTTTATTCTGAGATTGCAGGCCTGTTATGCGGCCATGAGCTTGCTTCCAGACAGTAGGTCTGGATATGGTTGGTTGGCAATGGAAATGCTATAAATTTTAACCCTAGCATAGAACCAGGGTTTTTTTTTAAAGATATGAAAATAATAATAATCTATCATTTATCAAGGGTTCACGAGGGTGGGAGAGAAAGGGAAACAACGAGGAGCTGATACCAATTGGTCAAGTAGAAAGAAAATGTTTTGAAAATTATAATGGCAACATATATACAAATGTGCTTGATACACTTGATGCATGGATTGTTTTTTGTTTTTTTTTTAATTCGGTATTATTGCTAATGCTTGGCGTCCCTGGGTGGTACAAATAATTTAACACCGTGGCTGTTAATGGAAAGATGGAGACTCCAGCCCACACCACAGTGCCATGGAGGAAAGGCCTGGATATCTGGTGTCGAGCCATTGTTGCTGGAAATGCTACCGGCCAGGTTCCACACCGAGTCAGCATCCCGCCCCCCCTCCCCCCAGCAACTGTGTTCTTGTCCCAAATCCTCCCAAGCGTTTCCTTCATTGTGGCTCCGTTTGCATCATGTCCTTTAAAGAAGATGCCTTCTGTCTTGGGGGTGGCAGTATGGGTCAGCTGTTGAAGGCCAATAAGACTCAGCCTTGAAACGGCTGAGAAGTCTCATGACCCAGGTGTCAGTGTCTGCTGTTTGCTTCTGCGGTTTGACATTGAGACTAAGAAAAAGAACAAAGACGTGTACAAGTTCTGGGAAAACAGAATGTTTAATTTTCATCAAAGAATCCTTGACTTGGTAGAAATAGAGTTTCTGATATATTGTCATAATATACTAATTATAACCCTGGGTTGTTTCTGCATGTATAAAAGGAAGTTGCAGGATACATTTCAGTATTCACTGTTGCCCTCCCAATACTTTTTCTGTCTCTCTTTTTTCCCTTAATCCTCACTCCCCTTTTCAGGACTGTTCGACTCCTTGGCAGGCTCTGACAGTCAGCCGGCACCCATCGATCGGTTCACCAGTTCTCCGTGGACAGCCCGGGGGCATGACTTTCATATGTCCCATTGCGTTTCTTCCATTGTCACAGCTCCACCCAATGGCTTCATCGCCAATACTCTCCTCCCCGCAGCTCTCAACCAGCTTGCTCCGAGCCGAAGAGCCCGTGCCCAAGGGAAATGCTCACTCTCATCGTTGGCGGATTGTTGCTCTCATTCAAGATGAAAGGGTGCATTTCACAGGAAGCTGTGGGGTACCAGCCCCCACAATCGGACGGGTCCAAGGAGCAGTTGTGTAATTGCGGGGTAAAATTAGAGACATCAGACAGTATAAGGCATATGAAATCATGGATGGCCATGATTTCAGCAGCCAGGTCCCAGCAGAGAGCATCAATATTTCCAATCATGGCTTATATACACTGTGGGGGACCTGCAAATCCCTCTGATTACATCCTAATGGGAAGAGGTTGCCACATGGATTGTTATATGGGCTGTCAGAACCCCAATAAAATGACTAATATATATATATAAGATACATGTGCTAGGATGGGAAGATTTGCCTTTTTGAACTTTGATTTTCCTCAGCTAGAACTCCAGCTCCTTCCCCTCTAGCACAGAGCCATCTGCTCGGCCATACTGGCCTGGCCATGGAGCGATACAGGCTGTTAAGAGAAAGGACGTCCTGAACAAAATGACAAGAGTGGCCTCACCTAAACTCATCTCCATAGAAACCCATGTTGGCTCAGGTCACTTAGGGGCAGAATTAATTGAAGCCTACTGTCTCCTCAGATAATACTTAATCAGCAAGTCAAGTCAATAGTGGAATGGGACAGTGTTCAGCACTGAGAAGAACCAGGATTCTTGCAGAAGAATGATGTGCTGTGCTTTATGTGAAACAATACATGGTTGATGCAGCAAGCCTTGGGTGTTCATTCCCTGCATAATCCAAAAACAGCTCCAAAAACCCTGTACTGAGTCCTGCAAGATAATCTCTAAATTCTTGCAATGCCCCGTGAGAAAGGAGTCTTTGTTCACGTTGGCTAACAATGTGATTTATGGCATGGACGCTAGTCCATGCTGCATCACTTTAATTTCTGGAAGAGTTGGAGGCTGAGTAACTTACATAAGCCAGGCAGGTTGCCTCATCTTTAAATGACTGACTTCCTAGTAAAAACCCTATATAGCAAGCCTGGGGTGAGTTTTCCTGGTTAGCAATATTCTGTATATATCTTCACATTAAGCACTCTCCATATAACTCCACTGGGAGATTGCACCTTGAGGCTCTAGGACTCTATCCTATGCATGTTTATCTTTTATTAAATTTCATTTACATAATTATACTCTAACACCCGTTATCATGAATGTAACCACTTTTCTATGAGCCCTGTCAGTGAAATCATGGAATCAGTGAATCTGGTGCTCAAGAGAATCTCTCAAAAAGCAAAGGATGAGTGGAGACAGAGCTGTAACCTAGAAAACAGGTCAGGATGGAATGCTAGCTCAGTCACACTCTTCCTAGTGACAGTGGGGGTCGCCTTATCTATGAATAGCTCGAGGTTTAAATAAGATTCTCCATTAGTTAACTGTCCATTCTTTGTTGTTTTTTAAATTTCATTGGTTATGTATATGTGTCATAAAAAAGGAGCTGCTAACGGTAGAGGTGATTATTTTGAGTCACTAATTTGTGAGCTTCTCCGTCCTATGTGAAGTTTCTTAGATGGAGGCAGGACTCTCAACTAGGGACTATGCACCTGCACACTTTGGTACAAAAGTTACATTCACTGTTTTCAGGCAACAAATGCATTTTTTCATAGAATTAATCGGGCACTATATTCTCTCTTATCATGAGCCAAGGGCTCTTGCTTCAAATGCTCTTCTTCTCATCCAGTTCAAGTAACTAGAGGCTATGGGGAAAAGCCAAACATAAAAGTATTTTAAACAATCGTTGGGTCATC